GCCAGGCAGCCAGAGTTGCATCCAAGAGAAATTAACCAGTCCGTGGGCATGGTTTTGTTATTTTAATAGGGGAAATTAACCTGGATATAGGGATTATGGGTTGCCTAGTTTGGCTTGAATCAGTGAAAGGGGGACAACTTCCTTCCTATGCACAAAGGCAGATCCTGGACTGTTCTTTTCCATGAAAGTTCACAGTCACTGCGGATCAGTAGCAACAGCCCTTTATGGGTGAGGAACTAGCAACCCCTCAAAAAAATCAGCTTAGTTTCTTGTAACTACATGCAGAGATATCTTCTCTCCCCCTGCAGAACTGCTCTCAGCTCCACAGCCTGCAGACAATACCAGTCCTCCTGAATGCTCAGAAGATCTCCTGGGACAAATATAAAGGAGTGAGCCCAGTGCTGTCCTTTGAAAGCTTTCTACATGTGGCAGTCTTTCCCCTTGTGGATCCCAGGAAGTGCTGATGTACTCACTCTGTCTTCTTTGCTCCCCACTGCTCCAGGTCTCAATCTCATTCATGCCACACTGCTGAATGTATCCTCCTGAGCAAGCCTGAGCACAGCCTGAAGGCTGGCGCCCCTAGATCTGGGGGACCCCTCCCAGGCACTAAAAGTCTCCTTGGCACTCCATCTTCCATCCAACTCCTCTGTCATCCTGACTCTCCCATATTTATAGGCCAGTCCACCACTCTACCAGGGCCTCGAAACCTGGGATTGGCCAGACTCCAATAAACATGCAGAATAAGTATTATTATTATACAGGATTTATATAGCGCCAACAGTTTGCACAGCGCTTTACAATATAAAGTAAATAAAGTATCCACCCCTTCCTTCTTATTGACTTCTTTAAGGTTCTATGGTCCACCAGAGTCAGGAGGAGGCGGTAGAGCCACACCTGTTAGTCATCCAGCTGACCTGCAATAACCCGACCTCAATCTTAGACTTACACAGTTACCATGAGTCATACACAATGATTTTACCTGCAATACACTACACTATTCTAGTAGTACACTAGAGGGTGCTATATAAGCAGCTGAAGAGTCAGATTACATGCAGCCTTCTCATTCTGTGTTTTCTCCTCTTCAATGACACTTCAGCAGTATATGACAGTCACACGTTTATCTCCCTTTTTAAAAAAATCTTTGCCAGAACTATATACCAGATTTGGTAGATTGCCCTTCTCATTTACAATAGTAGCATGAATGAGGTCCCTAATCCCCTGATTCTGGTGAAACTAAAAAACAAAAAAAATGTTCCCATCTATTTTAAAGCTATTAGAGTGTAGTTGGGATAGTAACTTTCATTAAAGGAGAACTTCATTATTAAACTAAAAAAATCATATTGGTTTAAGATTTTCTGGTATTGTTTTTCAAGAATTCTGTGGAGGAGAAAAGGAATGTTCTATTATACACAGTTCTTGCCCTGTCGGAATAGTGTTAGCACATAACTGGCTGAATTCACAAGTCTAATATGCCAGAATAACGATACTTCATTTCAGTCTTGCAATTGTAATTTTCAAATCTCAATGGGCTCAGCAAAAAAACAACTGTCAATTTTTTTTTTAAGAAAAGAACCCTCATCCTGGTGTGTTCGTTTTGTGAATCAAGCTTAAAGTGGTTGTAAAGGAAGAATTTTTTTTTTACCTTCATGCGTTTTATGCATGAAGGTAATAAACTCTCTGCATGCAGCTCCCCCCCCCCCAGCCCCCCTTGTACTTACCTGAGCCTGATTTCGATCCAGCCATGTGCATGAGAGCAGAGGCTCTCTCTCATTGGTTCAGTCACAGCTTCAGGAGCCATTGGCTCCCACTGCTGTCAATCACAGCCAGGAAGAATGGAGCAGGGTGCGGCACCGAGCCATGATCTGTGTGTCTTATAGACACAATAGCAGCTTTCTATGGTGACACACCAAGAAGAGGAGGAGCCGGGAGCGCCACCAGGGGACCCCAGAAGAAGAGGATTGGGGCTGCTCTGTGCAAAATCATTGCACATAGCAGGTAAGTATAACATGTTTGTTATTTTTAAAATATAAAATATAAAGGTTTACAATCACTTTACTGTCAGTTGTTTGGAAGTGAACTGATGGTGGAAAAATTTGCACTGGACATTGAAGTCAGTTATCAGCTGGTGTGTCAGTTTTTACAATCACAATTTCTGCTGCTTTGAGACAGTCTAAAGGACAATACCTTTCTCAGCAGCCAAAACAAAAGAGTGATTTCTACAAATTTCAGGTAAAAGATAAAGCTGGAGTTATAAGTTATACTTGTTTCATTATTTATTTCACTTCACATATAGTTTGATGTCAGTTATGGATCACCTATTGAGTTAAGAAGTATTGGCTAGAAATGTAAAAGCTGTGAGTTTTATTGTTTTAGGTGATATAAACCCTTCAAATTTTAAATGCTGTCAAGTTGTTTCACTCAATTTCAAACTGTGATTCTGCTAAATTCTCAAGCAATCCTTTTACAAACTGTTATCTTTTTAGTGTCATCAATCACTTCTGCTTGGAATATGTTGGGAATTTGAGTGATGCAAAGTGACAATTTTTTCACAGTTTTCTTTTTCACTCTAATGAGGCATAGACAAGTTTTTTTGGAAATACCCCATTGTAATTTGCTTGTAACCACAAGCTCCCAGCAATGAATGTGAACTTTTGAGCAGTTTACATTCTTTATTTAATCACATTCCTTTACTGATGTGTAGCTGGATACTGTTGGATGTGAAATGTCAGCTGCCTTTATTTTTCATTTATAAGCAAATTAATATGAGAAGTAAGAATGGCTTGTTATGTTGTGGGACATCAAAGTGTATCTAAAGTCAAAACTTTATTTTTTTTGTTTTTAATAAAGTGGCAAGGAGGTAAAACCCAATTAGGCTTTTATTGCTACTTGTGTTCCTATTATGGAGATGCACGCCCTCTATTTGTCGTGGTAACAACTATCACCAAGATTGAAAGTGAGGAAAATCCTAAATTTTGAGTTTTCACTATAACAGTGGAACAATCTTCCTATGTGGACATTTGTTCTGGTGCCAACTGTCTAAAAGGGCATTTGCATAACTTCCGGTCGTGTCTAGAGCACAGATGGTAAATAAAACAGGTTTTAAGCATTTCCTATCCAAAATGAAGAAAATACATTTTGGATTTAGATATACTTCAATATTATGCAAATCTCAGTTACAATAATCTATCCTACTTTTGGTAAACTTAGTTTTACTAACATAGAGGAAAGTGAAAACCTCATGTTCATCTTAGATGTGACAGAGGGTGTCAGGGCTCCCGGGTATGACCAGAGGTATGTGAACTGACGCAGGGAAACGCAGGCTTCAGATATGTTATAAACAATATAATTTATTAACACTAACAATACAAACATAACGCAGTGCAATACTAAAACATAACACAGTGCAAACGAACCAAACCAACCACCCACAGATAACAGTACATACAATGCAAGCGTCGTCAGGCAGGCCGGGTCAATAACAATCGGGCAGGTAGGTACAGGGGGAGCAAGCGGAGAATGGTCGGGGGTCACAAGCCAGGTTCAGCAGGTAGCGGGCAGCGTGGTACAGAGGGTCAGGCAGAGGGATGGTCAGGAACGAGCCGGGGTCAGAGCAGGAGAGGGTCAGCGTAATCAGAACAGGCAGAGTTTGGCAACAAGGAAACGTATTAGCAGGAACACAGGAAAAGGAACAAGAATGCAGGATTACAAGATACAGGGCCCAGGAAAAAACACACACACCAAGGCAAAGACTGCAGGTCTGGCCATCACTTAAATACACCTGCATAAGCAGTTTCAGGTGTTTGGCTGACTGCAGGGTTGAGTCTCTGATTGCTGGGAGCACCCGCTGGCCAGCCCTGGTACTGCAGCCCACAAGGCAGGTGAGTCCCACCACTACTGGCAAGTCCATTCCTAACAGTACCCCCCCTCAAGGAGCGGCCTCAGGACGCTCCAAACAGTCCTAGCTGGGCAAAATGTTCCACCGCCCGGGTCTGGTAACTGGCGGGATATCAAAGACTGGCACATCGGGCAGGACTCCGGGCAGCGGCACACCGGACCGGACTCCGGGCAACGGCACACTGGGCAGCGGCACATCGGGCAGGACTCCGGGCAGCGGCACATCGGCACACTGGGCAGCGGCACATCGGGCAGGACTCCCGGCAGCGGCACATCGGGCTGGACTCCGTGCAGCGGCACATCGGGCTGGACTCCGGGCAGCGGCACATCGGGCTGGACTCCGGGCAGCGGCACATCGGGATGGACTACGGGCAGCGGCACATCGGGCTGGACTCCGGGCAGCGGCACATCGGGCTGGACTCCGGGCAGAGGCAGATCGGGCTGGACTCCGGGCAGAGGCACATCGGGCTGGACTCCGGGCAGAGGCACATCGGGCTGGACTCCGGGCAGAGGCACATCGGATCACCAGGCGAAGCAGCAGGCACCGGGCCACCATGCGGAGCAGCAGGCACCGGGCCACCAGGCGGAGCAGCAGGCACCGGGCCACCAGGCGGAGCAGCAGGCACCGGGCCACCAGGCGGAGCAACAGTCCGGGCCCCCAGGCGGGGCGACAGGCATCGGGCCCCCAGGCGGGGGTGACAGGCTCGGGCCCCCAGGCGGGAGCGACAGGGCGCCGGCCCCCAGGGTGGAGCGGACAGGCGCCGGACCCCCAGGCGGAGCGACGGGTCTCGGGCCCCCAGGCGGAGCGGCGGGCGCCGGACCCCCAGGCGGAGCGACAGGTCTCGGGCCCCCAGGCGGAGCGACGGGCGCCGGACCCCCAGGCGGAGCGACAGGTCTCGGGCCCCCAGGCGGAGCGGCGGGCGCTGGACCCCCAGGCGGAGCGACAGGTCTCAGGCCCCCAGGCGGAGCGGCGGGCGCCGGGCGCCCAGGCGGAGCGACAGGTCTCGGGCCCCCAGGCGGAGCGGCGGGCGCCGGACACCCAGGCGGAGCGACAGGTCTCGGGCCCCCAGGCGGAGTGGCGGGCGCCGGACCCCCAGGCAGAGCGACAGGTCTCGGGCCACCAGGCACGACAGTGGGCCCCGAGTCAACTGGCAGGACCGCGGGCACTGGGTCAGACATTGGATCATCTGGCTGGACAGCGGGCATCGGGTCACCAGGCATCAGGTCATTTGGCTCGACAGCGGGCACCGCGTCATCTGGCAAGGCAGTGGGCACCAAGTCACCAGGCACAACAGTGGGCTCTGAGTCAATTGGCACGACAGCGGGCACCGGGTCATCAGGTACCGGATCGTCTGGCTCGACAGCAGGCACCGGGTCATCTGGCGCTGGATCGTCTGGCTCGACAGCGGGCATCGGATCACCAGGCATGACAGCGGGCACTGGGTCATCAGGCATTGGACTGTCTGGCTCGACAGCGGGCATCGGGTCACCAGGTATGACAGCGGGCACTGGGTCACCAGGCATCAGGTCATTTGGCTCGCCAGCGGGCACCGCGTCACCTGGCAAGGCAGTGGGCACCGAGTCACCTGGCCTAATAGGATCATCAGGCTGGATCAGTTCATCATGCTGGGTAGAGGCAGCAGGCTGAATGGAGGCAGCAGGCTGAATAGAGGCATCAGGCTGAATAGAGGCATCAGGCCGGGTAGAGGCATCAGGCCGTACAGGGTAGAGGCATCAGGCTGAATGGAGGCATCAGGCTGAATGGAGGCATCAGGCTAGGTACAGGCATCAGGCTGGGTACAGGCATCAGGCTGGGTACAGACATCAGGCTGGGTACAGACATCAGGTTGAAGTGCGGGTGCTGAGGCACCAGGCTGAACCACGGAAGGCCGGTTCTCAGACAGCAGGCTGACCGGTTTGGATACTGGCAGGATGGTACTGGTTGGAAAGAATTTTCGCTTTTTTCTGGTTTTAACTACTGGAGCACTGCAAGTAAACGCAGGTCTGCAAACGAATGGAGCAGCTGGAGACAGAGAAGAGCTGGAGGATGGAACAGGGGAGGGAACAGTTGCTACAGAGGACTTCTTTACAGGGTTAAAGGCAGGATAGATGCAGCGAGTGGGAACAAGGGTACTGACATGCGGTAGATAGCAGGGCAGGAGGAGCTGTTGGGAATGCAAGAATAGAGCTTTGAGGAAATAGATTAGAAGCAGGGCTGGGTTTTTGAAGCTGACTGAGGCTGGGTGTGCAACAAATCTGTCCATGTCTGCAGTATGGGTTGAACAAAGCTGAGCTTACACAAAGCCTGTCTGACCAAAGACTGCACTGCATTTATACAATCTCTTAGTATCTGTGGTGAACATGCAGAATAACGCTCCAGAAAGTAATCCACATCATCCTCTAATAACCATACCAGGGACTCTACCTGGTCTGCACTAAATGGTGGCAAAAATTCATCCCTGCATTCGGGGGTACCAGATGAAACCAACTCCGCACAAACCTGAATCAATGGCTGCACCTCAGAGAATTCTGTGCCCTGATCTACTAGAACATGAGCGAGCCGTATACACTCTAGTAGTTCATCCCTGGGATACTCCTTCAGAGTCTGATAAGCATATTCTCTGTCACCAAACACTAGCAGATATAAATACACAACCTCATCAAGATCCATCCTTCCCATCAACAAACCAAGATGGCTTCCCTGTGCAGCCACTTCTGGTCAGGATTGGCCTTGGTGTAATGTCAGGGCTCCAGGGTAAGACCAGAGGTATGTGAACTGACGCAGGGAAACGCAGGCTTCAGATATGTTATAAACAATATAATTTATTAACACTAACAATACAAACATAAACGCAGTGCAATACTAAAACATAACACAGTGCAAACGAACCAAACCAAACCACCCACAGATAACAGTACATACAATGCAAGCGTCGTCAGGCAGGGCCGGGTCAATAACAATCGGGCAGGTAGGTACAGGGGGAGCAAGCGGAGAATGGTCGGGGTCACAAGCCAGGTTCAGCAGGTAGCGGGCAGCGTGGTACAGAGGGTCAGGCAGAGGGATGGTCAGGAACGAGCCGGGGTCAGAGCAGGAGAGGGTCACCGTAATCAGAACAGGCAGAGTTTGGCAACAAGGAAACGTACTAGCAGGAACACAGGAACAGGAACAAGAATGCAGGATTAAAAGATACAGGGCCCAGGAAAAACACACACACCAAGGCAAAGACTGCAGGTCTGGCCATCACTTAAATACACCTGCATAAGCAGTTTCAGGTGTTTGGCTGACTTCAGGGTTGAGTCTCTGATTGCTGAGAGCACCCGCTGGCCAGCCCTGGTACTGCAGCCCACAAGGCAGGTGAGTCTCACCACTACTGGCAAGTCCATTCCTAACAGAGGGAGTGTCCACCTGCTTTGGGGTTTTCCTAGGCTGCTGGGTAGCGACTGGGTGTCAATCTTTGTTTAGGAATCATGGATTCAGGAAACAACTGCAAAAAAAGATCAATAGCATACTAGGATAATGTAAGATTCAGGAAGCACACACTAAGGAACTAAATGGAATGTATAAATATATGCAGATGTGAATCCATAGTCAACATTTGTATAAAACCTAACTTCTTGGACCAGAGGAATGATACCATCACATGGAAATAGCTTTAGAACTGGAGAACTATTTCAAGCTGTCTGTCTGCGTTTCTCCTCCAATACTGGTCTCCAAGATCCAATTCCAAAATTGTGCTTATTTAACCAGGAATTCCTATAGGCATAACACACTTAGGGGGATTAACAAAGGTGCATTCCAAAAAATGTGCCAATATATCTATATGCCCAGTAGCTCTTACTGTGACAAAAGTAATAAAAGTGGTGCCAACAATTCATTAATTTGTCATATGGTGGTGGTGCTACTCTTGCTGCAGTGTTGATTGTCGCGTTCTGTCCCTCCACATTACTGTATTTATGGTAATTCTGACGATGTTATAACATTTAAATTAGATCAAAAAAGGCTTCACTGATTTGGTGCACACAATTGGACTTTTCTAGAAACTGTCGCATAGCACTTTTAATGTGATTTGGCACAGCTGGTGAACCAAGACATTGAATCTGAGTAATGGAATTGTTTATTTGGTACACAGTAAATGCACTTATATTTACACTGAAAAATATGTAATTCATTGTATTAGTCCCCCTGACTATCTTTAATTCACACATATGGCTTTATGCTGCAGATTCTGTAAAAATTGACAATCCTGACAGAAGCCATACATTGACTTAGTGGTTAGCACACTTGGGTCCCTAGTTTGAATCCTGGACAGGACACTATCTGCATGGAGTTTGTGTGTTCTTTCTGTGCTTGTGTGGGTTTCCTCCCACAATTCAAAATAACTCTGATAGGTGAATTGGCTCCTGTTCAAATTTCTCGTGTGTGTATGTATACAGTGTATGGATGTGAAATAGGGACCTTAGATTGTAAGCTCTTAGAGAGCACGGTATGATGCTAATGTACAAGATGTAAATTGTTGGCACTATATAAATATTTGTAAGAAAACAAAATGTGTTTTGTTACGACTACCAATGTATTTTATCAGCAAGAATCTAATTTCCAGTCTATGAATTACAATGGAAAATTGTTTATTTATGAAAATGACTGCTAAGTCCTAATTACTGCTAAGTCACTCTCAAAATTAGAGAGGATTTTTTCCCTATTTATCTTTTTGTGGTGTGATAACTCGCAATGCAGTCAATGTTCTGCTACTGTAGGCTGTCCATATATAAGTAACACTGCAGTGGAGGAGCCTCAGTATATTTTCAACACTACCCTCTACTGTTTTGGACTTCGGCAGAGCTCAATGTGTCTGCCCAATGATAAAATATAGGTCATATTTCAGTCATTTAAATGACAAATAAACCCATTTTAACCAAAGGATAAGTTCATCTAAGACTGCACATGATTTAAACATTACCAGTAATAAATGTTGAGATTGCTCTAAAGATATCCACAATACCTTCACTCCTCTCCATATTTCTTTTTTGTTTTCTGTTGGTTATAAAGACATGAAACTTTACAATGCAGCCGATAGACTTTTATTTTTATTCCTAACGACCATACTTCCATACAAGTGTGTATGTATATGTAGGTTTTACTAACATGTCTTGTAGACACATATTATATGGTATATTATATGTATATTATATATGATTTAAAAAACATATTATAAACTAAAACTATGGCGTATTGTCATATTGATTGAATACTAAAGTAATCTTATCTATCTTTATCTTCTCTTAGTGCATCCCAATGTGAGCCAGGGTTGCCAAGGGGGATGTGCCACATGTTCCGATTACAATGGCTGCATAACATGTAAACCAAGACTATTTTTTGCTCTAGTAAGGAATGGTATGAAGCAAGTTGGGGTTTGTCTTTCATCTTGTCCAAATGGATACTATGGAATGCGCTCTCCAGGAATTAACGAGTGTAAAAGTAAGTAACCAATAATGTACAATTTACTAAATTATTTATCTTATTTTGAAGCTTAGTTTCAGAAGTAGGTGTATAGTTTATTGTTATATGCATTTTAGCACATAGCTCAAGACAAGAGAATGAAAGCAGCATACCTATAGAATAATTTGAAGCTGAAGTTTAGACTTACCATTTTCCCACACTTGTAGCAAGTCTTTCCTGTGTTGATACCAATTTCTCTCAACTCCTTGCAAACTTTCAATCTACAATATAACTCTTTAAAGCTGTTCGCTTGAGCTTGCCTTTATTTTCTGTCTCAGCAACTTCAATCATTATCAGTCCTCTCTTCTCCTGGACTATACTGTTGTTACCTGCTTCTCACAGCTATTAGCTTTCTCTGCTATCAATAATTTTTTCTCTTCGACATGAGTGGGTGGGATCTTTAGGGATGTAGTCAGTGACTTTATTGTTGTCCCTAAGCATTCCATTATGTGAAAGAATACATCCCTGGCATCACCTTAGGTGTGCATGCACTTCTCTGATGGCCATGGCCACAGGTGTTTGACTACACTATATTAAAGTATAACCTATTATCTGCTTGATTACACCCTATCAGATTGTAATCAAGCAACTGATAAGTAGATTTTACAGCTAAAGTTTGCAGCACCCATTGACTAGCAGGGAGGAGCATGCCTGTCTAAAGTGATACTAGAGATGTGTTCTTTCATTTATCACAAGGGCTTTTTAAAGAAGATCTGAGACAGGGTGCTGTGGTATTACAGGATCCTGCAATGCTCTCCCACCAAACTCAACCTTGTTATAGAGCAAATGCCAGCAGAAAGACCCAGTGATTACATCACTGAATCTTAAAGGAGATATCTCTTTAAAGCAAAATTATTTGATAGAAAAGAGGTAATTGCATGTTTACTGGGGGGCAACCACCAGTGCTCCCCATACCTTGTACTAGTACCAGGATATCTTCTTTGTTCCTAGGGGCTGGGCTGAGTAGTGGTTAAGTGAAGGGAAGTTGAGTATGTGAAGCTGGTAGTAAACAGGTTTGCTTTGAAAGCAAAAAACAAAGATAGTTTTCCATCCTGTGATCATAAAACTTTTGATAATATGTCAATGTTCCAAATCCAAGATCCAGGATAATTGTAGACTGCTGCTAAGTTTATAAACATTTAAGCATTAAAAGAGATCACATTTCATTATAGTTTCTCCTTTAAGATTGATTGAATCTCTTCTTTGGTTCTAGGATGTAAAGCTGACTGTGAAACATGTTTCCACAAAAGCTTCTGCACGAAGTGTAAAGGTGGCTTTTATTTGCACAGTGGAAAATGTCTTGACACATGTCCAGATGGGTTTGAAAACAATAATCACAGCATGGAATGCAGTACTATTGGTAAGTTATTACTTAAATGTTGTAAACCATAGTAGATATGAGCATTGGCAAAGACAATCATTTGGATTATATATTATATGTGTAACAATGGTTTTCCTGGACCTGTGTTCTGTTGCTGCTGAGTCCTGATATCCAGCACCACATGGTGTGTGAAGCTCAGCCACCACTATATGTAATAGTATGCATTAGTCTGCTGAGCACCAGACAGTGTAAGCAAGCATTAAATAGACCATCAAAAGAAGGGAATGTGATATTTTCTATTGCATTCACTCTGAACCCTCATAAGCACTGACTAGATGAGCTCTATTTTTACAGAACTGGATTTAAACGGAGTATAGATGCAAGTAGAGGAAGACAACCCTTTACTTGGTAGCTGTTTTTCCAATGTATGGGATGAAAACCATTTTATATTCAGAGCTAATTCAGAATTTCTAAACTGTATTGACCCCCCCCCCCCCCCCCCCCCCCCCCCCCAACTAGAAAAGTGAAAGCTAGGGTGAAGGAGGACAGTGAATATAATCTTCAGAAGAGTCAGAAGGTTTTTTACTGGTCAGGACACATTAAAGATTATGTTTCCAAAGCATTTCATATTCCTGATATGTGCCTGTTGTACTATATAATTTTGTTAAAAGGTATCCTGTTCATTATTACATGGCTGCCCAGATTTCCCAGTTATCTATGCTTCACGCTTCCTTGGATATTTCCTTGTGGGTGCTTCTGAAGCTACCTAATTGTGCTCCCCCTTACTATGGCTTCCTGATAAACTATGCCTGCTGCTGCAACCCTGAGACCCCTTTGCAACACAGTATGAAACTATGGGATTTGGTGCAATACTCAAGCTTTCCTTTGTCTCCTTTTTTGCCCCTGTTACCCATTATCCAGAATCCCTTGTTTCCCCCGGCATAGATCAGCCTCATGTGTTCTCTTGGTGTACCTCCTATAGTTTTACACATGTGCGACACTTTTTGGCCCTTTGGTATTTTTCAATGTGGGCCAACCTCCCAGAGAGTCACGAAGCTCTGCAGCCAGAGTTCTTTCTCTATCTTCAGCTTCAGCATTGGTGATCTTCTCTCCGACGTACCTCTACTTATCCTTTCCGGAAAACAATGTTTGAACATGTCTGCCAACACTTTCTGGGATCTCCGGGCCTCATTTCCACTCTGTCTGCATCCCTGAAAAGTCAGTCACCCTTTACTACAAGACTTGACGTCTGAGATAGACCCGGTGGACTGGAGCAAAGCCTTGTCTACTGTTGCAAAATGCAAATTGAATTCCAAGGACTGCTGTTTTCAGGGTTGTGACCATTGTGAAGATGTTCTTCACATATGGTGGACATGTCCGCAACTGGTAGGCTTTCTGGTCTCGTGTCTTCGGCCTATTGCATATTCTGTCCTGCTCTTGAATATTCAAAAGGATGCTAAACTTGCTTTATTGCATTGCCCTATCTTAGACTAAGAGAGTGATTGCCCAGGCCTGGAAAAAACTCATGGTTCTGTTCCAGGGAGTGAGAGACCGTATGACAGCTTTGATGCTCAATAAACAAATGTCCAGTACCTTTAAAGAGTCCCATGCCAAGTTTCTAAAGATTTGAACCATGGTTGACGTATGCCTTCCCTACTCTACCTCTGAATAGTGTGGGATGACTATGACTGGCAGCCCCGATGATCCTGAGCCCCTGCTCCTCTTCCTCTTATTTACTTTTCCTTTGCTCTCCTTTTTTTTTTTGATAGGACTCTGCTCCCCCTATATGTTTTTATTTGGATCTGTAGCACATTCTACTGTTGTCTGGAAATTAGTATGTCCAGCTTTACAACTACCTGGCTCTTTCCTGGACCATCCCTTCCTTGTGTTCATATTTATCATGTTTGAGTTACATTTAAGTTGATTCAGGGACTATCCGATTACCTCTTGCGGGATCAGAAAGCTATTTTTTCCCCTGCAGAAGCAAATTGGATCATGCTTTGCTGGTGTTTTTGCCTTCCTCTGGATCAACTATGGATATAGATTATAACGTTTGTTTGTTTTTTATGGTTGAATGGACTTTTTTTGAATGGCTGGATGGACTTTTGTCTTTTTTCAGCCAGACTAACTATGTAACTATGTAACTATATTATTGGTGTTGATCTTCCTTTTTTGTTAGCACCATATAAACTTTCTGTACTCATGTTGCCAGTTCTAGCCCCTGCATGGGCGGATTAGGTGCTTTCCCTTGTTACTCTGTTTTAAATGAATAAAAACTATTGAACCAAAAAAAAGTATCCTGTTCTCTTTATATTGCTTCCTTTGTGTGAAATATCTGGTAATCATGCTGGTCCCCCTGCTTTTCCATTTCAAAATGACCATGCTAGGCATGGAAGCACATCCATCTCAGTGTGTTCATTTTCCTGACTGTGCTGGCAGGACAGTCTGACTGTCCTCCAATGATCAGACTTGTGCTGACACACCCCCTGCTCAGCCATTCACTGGGAAGATCAGTGTATTGCTGTTTCTGTACCCCCACATCATTAAGCCCCTTATGCCGCCAAGAATATTGATTGTGTGAACTGTTGTTTAAAAAAAAAAGCAGGGTTATTTTTTTTATATATACACAAATGTTTTGCCTTTTATTTCTATTTTAAACTGAATGGGCTGTTTCACAATGTAAGGATTAACATATACTTTAAGCCAGCTCTCATTTTCTTTTTGGGTGGTCTGTACAGTTCAGAAGTAGCTTTGAATATAAAATAGACAGTATGGTGGCTACAATAGCTGATTCTAGTGGTAGTGTTTACTAATACAAGTGCATTACACAAGGGGCAGAGCTTGTATCATTCAGATGTGCCTGTGGCTGAAATAATGTCTTAATACAGCCCTGCTAACAGTAGCATGGAACCTTGTGTTGTGTTGCATAACATCACAATAAATATCTAATCACAGTTATGGTATCTATTATCCAGCATGCATTTGATGGTTTGGAAATGATCGTTATGTGTTTACAGATAATGTTTCGGGATCATTTACATTTCTAAAAATGGCCCTTAATGCCTTATATACTTTCTAGCCATGATAAAATTATCATTTGATGGTCTGCAGATGTAGATTGCAAAAGAAAAACCATGATAAATGCATCCATATTATATAAGTCTTATTTTCTGAAAAGCTTCAATTAGTCTTTTCACATTCTGGAAAATTTTGGGTAACAGGTTTCATTTAGGAAATCTTATACCTGTGAAAGCAATACATTACTTGGAGTGTGAGTCTACAACTAATTCCAGAAGTCTAAACATTCTCTTCTGCATTTTTGTGTAACGCGGACTTTATCTCTTATTATGAAAAGACTTATGTCCTGTATAAAGTAAGGTGCTAAATCAAACAGACCATCAACTTGGTTCTACATATTATATGAAAAAATGTTAAACACTCCAGGCCTTGTTTAAGTTATTTTTTACTCAGCTGCATAGAATATTAAAAAAGCAAATCTATTTCAGTGCTAGCTCAGGTATAAATTATTATAAGAAAACAGACCAAAGCACAAAGGCTTGGCATTGAATAAATTATGGAATCTATGGCTCCCGTTTATTCTATTTAGTAGTTAAGACATAAATTATTATACCAAATTTCACAATCAACAACAAAAATTGAACAAACAAAAAATGAATAAAATGGTATAAAACACGTTTGGTCAACATATTGGAAATACGATATACAATACATATAAGTTTTCCATTGCCAAAAGACAAAAAAATTAAAATAGCTTATAATTCAACAGTTATACTCGGTTTCAAATTGTGCCAAGGGTGCCCACTATCCCAGAGAGGGGCTTTAATATAGGAGGTTCTAAAGTTTAGGAGAGATGGGTTATAAATAGCGGGGTTGTGATTCAAATAAAATGCTTACCTTAAAAGTAAAAGAATTAAAGAATAAATGTGAATGTTGAAATTCTAGAAAATGGCTGCTACATTGGAAGGAGTCTGTAGTAATGGAGGTGTGGGTAGGTTTATAACATTTCAGTGTTTGACTTCCCTGTTCCTCCCAGCCCAGAAGTATGCACTTCCTCCCCTTTCACCTAGAAACACACACACATATGTGCACAGTTTCCCAGTGGCAAGATAACTGACGGATCTCTACAGACTGCAAAGGAGAGGAGGTGATGTCACCAGAGGGAAAAGGATGTGAGTGGAGAGCCTATAAACTCCAGTCTCAGCCTCTCTTGTTCGTTTTATGTCCCAGCAAAGTAGACAAGGGGGAGCAGAGACAAAGGAAGCTATGGTGGATCATGCAGTGGCAGAGTTGGTGGCTGGTCGGGGAAGTGCTGGCTAGCAGAAAGGTGCAGTGTCTGGGTTGTTTGGGTGCAGTGTCTGGGGTGTTGGGGTGCAGTATCTAGGGTGTTGGGGTGTATTGTCCAGGGTGTGGGTTCAGTGTCATAGGTGATGGAAGGCAGGGAGGTTAGGAGTCCAGAATTTAGTTGTAGCAGTGCTGAATGACAGGGAGATGTCATTGTCAAAGTGCAGCATGGATTACATAGTCCGCTAATCTAATATGAGTGCCAGGGTTTTAATTACCTTGGGGACAGAGCCTATTAGAATTAAGGTATTTGAAAGTGTAATTAGACTTACACCCCCTAAGAACTATGCATTGTGGTATTGTGTGTTTTACTGAATTTATAACACAAATACTGTATGTGCGGTGTGTTGAGGTCCCATCCATTTAGAATGCCACCCCAACGCACACATTCGGTAGGTGCCAATGGACCCACACTATATTAAAAAAGGTGCATTTTTATTGACTATGCCTTGGAAGCCCATTCTTGATGAAATGTTTGTCCTAACGCAATGCATGTTAACTTTTATGCAGTAGTGCACCACAATAGAAGAGCATAGCTTAAAGGGGACCTCAATATTTCGATGTGGGGCAGCACAGTGGCTAAATGGTTTGCACTTCCACCTGGCAGTACTAGGGTAGTTGGTTTGAATCCCAGCCACGGCACCACCTGCCTGGAGTTTGCATGTTCCCTTTGTGCC